CCAGCCCTGAGAATCCTGAAGTCTTTACCAGCAGCTGCCAAAAAGGACTAGACAACAACGAGGCAGGACTAAGATTAAATTGCGTTACAAACTCTTTTTTTTTTTTTCAAATGTTTTTTTTTAAATATTTTTCCAAGCTCTTTGTTTGGAAAGTGTGCCCGTTCTTTATTCCAGACATCCCATTCCGGATAATCCCACAGCAAACAGGGGCTGAAAACACCTGTGCTGGCAGGCCGTCAGGGATTCTCTCGCGTGCAGAACCGAGGAGAGGACGTTTCATCTCTCTCGGCAGGCCCTGCTGTAGCTCACAGGACCAACAGGTGCTGCGCAGGGCCGAGAAGACATGGCCTGTGGCCCAGGGAAAGACCTCGGATGAGCCCGGCTTTCATTCTAGTCAGTAGCGAAGCATTTTCATTTAGAATCCTTCAGAATGGGAGCCTGAAGATTGGTAGTGGAACAATGATGAGGACTGGGACAATGGCCCACAAACGGTCCAGTGGACAGCTAGCCTGTGGTTCTGGACCACTCAATCCCCAAAGCCCAGATGGTTTGAATTGTCAGACTTTGTGTTGCACTCAGAATAAACTTGATATTATATGTGATGTTTTCATATAATGAATAACAAACCTATCATCCTGAGGTATTATATATACAAAATTAGATCATATTATTAAATGATGATAATTCTTGAAGAGAAAAATACCCATTTAAATCATTTCAGAAATAATGGCAGGGTTTGTTTTCTCTCCTAAACTAATACAAATATGAAAAAATATACAAATAAAAATATGAAAAAATAGCACCAAGTGCGTATTCACTAAATTCTGGGACAAAGTGATTTTCAAAGCTTTGACATCTTCAGGGGGGAAAGAGAAGATAGGGAGAGACACAAGTAAATAGACCCAAGAAAGGGAAAAAGAAAAAGACATTTCACCCAGGCAAGGTAAGTGTTTGTTTAGTATGAAGCACACAGTGGATTTAATATTGACTCAGACAATATTGCTGACTGATCGCGCGAGAGACAAAGGTCCCTTTCTACTGTAAAGAAAGAAATAGGCTTTGCTGATTCTTTCTGTCAGTACCTCAGAAAACAGTGCATTGAAAAGATGTCGATGAGCTTTGATGATAAAACTCAATACAGTGTGAGGTTCAGACCTTCTTGTGACAGAAAATACACTTTGAAAAGAAAGGCACTTAAACAGGACACAGTGACCCTGTTCTCCTGAATACCTGGCAAAAGGTGATGCTGACCGAACAGGTGAAAAAGGTGATTTCCTCTCAGGGATGCATAAGTAGAAAAACTGTTGGATTTGCTAACATAACTTTTTCTCTTCGCCAAGCTACAGAAGATGGAGAACTCTGCAGCAGAATTATGCGTAATCATTTCAAGGTTCTTGTTGTACAGTATTTGTATAATACCAGTTTTATCTGATTCAGATTTTTAAAGTGATTTCAGTCAGATTTTGTAAGTGTCAGAGGACAACTTTTCCCCCCGTACAGAATTAGCAATTTGTAAAAAATGTCTTCATCGGAAAAGCCAAATGACTCTCTCATCTTAATCATGCTCAACGGAGCACTGGATCCACTGTTGAGGTGTGAAGGCTGGAAACACACACAGTCTATAGCTTTTCATCTCACACTGCAGGGCCCAACAGACACAGCTGCACTAACGCCACACACGCCCTGTGGTCAGCTACTTCAGAGGGACAGGATCGTCCCCGGCTCTCCTAGACCATCTCAGGACAGGAAGAAGAGCTGGCTGAACAGGACTCACGTAATGACGTTAGTGCTCGAGTATCTTGATGGGTTAATTAGATTGGTTCAGATCTTACTCTACAGACAGAGATTGGAGGTACTGTAACATCAGGTAGGGGTGCCCTGCAGTCCTGTGCACGCCTCCTTGTACTGATTTCAAAACCAGCACAGAGCTGCGTTCATCAGCGGTACACTCCTGCCTGTGAGAGCTGCCGTGTCAGTTTCTCGCAGGGTTTAACGGTATTCAGTGGCCTGAGGGTTTTGTAGAATTATACAAAATTAAGCGTCCCTCGCAGTTCCCAGGAAAGGCACCGGCCTTTCTGATAATTACCCTGTAAACGTAAATCTCTTCAGCGTCACTCAGGGCCTCCGGGGGAATAATCTCTTTCAGCGCCAGAAGAACTTGAAAGCAAGTGAGATAGCCATCCCTGTCGTTGTCTGCCTGGAAACACAGAAGGGGAATCCCTTTTAACAATCCTAGATTTCCCGTCTTCGACAATGCACAAAACATTTTAATGATGCCTCTTGAATAATTAGTGTGAGTCAGGGACCTTTTCAGTAATGACCGCAGTGTATTCGCTATGGCAGGTAAAACCACCAAGTCCATTCGCCTTCATAATTGCATTTTTGAACAGGCGACCAAGCTCATTTCCATGATGAAAATGTGGGCGTGTCTCGTGGGGACCCCCTTCGACTTGGGAAAGCTCGATAGCCACAGCACTCCGTGCCGCTCGTAAAGAAAGAGGATCTTTGGTCTTCGGTCACTCGTTCGCTATGACCACGCAAGACCCCCCCCATTCCAGAGACCTTTCCCCCCATTCCAACACATCTGCTCGCTTCTTCTGCGAAAAAGATGTTGACGTAAGAAGTTTGATTTTTGAAAATAATGAGCGACTGGGAGTAATAACCCTTTACATTCTAATGAAAATGGGCCATCGATAAGCCTGACAAGCTAGGACTCCAGACCAGAAAAAACAATGTTGAGATCCTTGTGCATTTAACCTCTGTCACAAAGGGCAAGAGGTCAGACTGTTCTTCAGGTCAGCCTTTACAGAGCTGCAAGACGGGCTGGATTTCAGAGCCCAGTGAGCTTGGCAATGAAAACACACTCAGGATCTAACACCCTCGGCCTCCTATTGCTGCCAAAGACAGGTATCTGCGGTCCCTTCTCTTTTAAGCACAGCTACCTCTATTCTGAAATGCTGAAGTGCTAAAGACTTTCACACATGGCTGTCAGTGGTGTATAATTTAGAATAATTTGTATTCGTTATAATGGGTGTCACATCCAAGTGCACACAAAATATGTTAACATACAGCATGGTATTACACATGCTGAAGTCTGCATACTGATTGTTAATAGTCTTAAATTTCTTTATAGTCTTTTTATGTGAAAAGTCTGCAAAATGACGATACATAAACATATTCAGTAGGCGTCTATCTCAAAGATCTATCATTGATTGAGGTCCATCAAGATTGCTGCTAAGTTACATAAAAATCACCTGCCTTTATTAGAATGTGCATGTGTCAGTCTTCCATCATCATGTATTACAGTTCAGAGGTGACCTGACAAGGGCAAGCATGAGTACAGGACGAAGATCAGCTGTGTTGAAATTGTATTGTTGTTCACATACACTTCTTGTTAACTTTGGCAGAAATACTTGTGTTATGCATATGCTACATATGTAATATATATATTAAGACTGATCAGAAATTGAGATACATTGTGAAGCCTAAATCTTGAGTCTTCTTGCTCTGTACAATATAGATTATTTTATTATCCTCTCCATAAACCAAATCTCTGAATCTATTTCAGGACCTGATCCCCAGTTTCAATGTGCCCAGAAAATCAATGTGCTGCTCCTTCATTGCGTATCGTTTCTGTCAAGTTTCCCTCAGAAGAAAATTGTCCAAAGACAAACCTGGTGAATGGGAAAGCACAGTACAAAACTAAATGCACCTCACTTCTGAACACCTGCTCTCCTTTTCTCCTTCACACACAATACAAGCTCCTAACAGCCCTAATTAAGGGCCGCTTGACTTCGGAGTTATTGAAATGCTCTGACGTAGACACTCTTCGAATAGAAGGTGAGTTAATGTTGTACAGCTGATCTGTCTTCTTAGCTATCGGATAACAGAAGTAAACAGTGGTTTTATGAACAGAATATTATGCAGAATACTTAGTGTCTACTGAATATGATGACTGAAATTTCATAGTGCATCTATCCTGGCTGTTGTAAATGAAGGAGAAATAAGAAAAACAAACTTCTCTGTTACACCTGAAAGATAGATTGTGACACAGAGACACACCTAGACAGGTTTGTATAAAGCTGTCTGTCTTTATGATGTACAAAAGCATGCAAGACTCTGTCATCAACCCCTTCACGAATATGGAAGCCACCCAGAGCTGTGGAGAGCTGTTTACAGAAGGACAGTAAATTACTGTCATTTCCGTCTCTGGCCTTAAAACCTGTATTAACCACAAATGTGCCAGCCCCTGCTTGCAACATCTTGGTAACAAAGTTAAGCAAAGAGTTAGTATTGAACCAGCAGGAGGATACAGCTGTGCCAGTAACTCTGCTAGTCCTTTTAAAGACTGTCACTTTATCAAGAGGTCAGAAATGATGAACATAAGAAAGGTCACCTTAGGAGGACAAAGATGGGAAATGAAGGTGCCTTGATCTTATCGCAACCTTAATCCAAAAGATGGCTGCAGGATTCTTAGTCGGCAGGTGCCCTGTGGTTCAGAGAGCCTCTCTCCTGCCCAGAGTCTGGCCAAGGGTATGGTCCCAGAGATGTCCTCCTGCTGTTCCCTGGAGGAGTGCACTGCAGATGAACACCTTCCCTTCACCGTATACCAGACCTTCTCTGTATCCCCTATGGACCCAGCCAGCCAGGTTGCTGGTGCAGCCCGGTTATCTGTATCTCAGATTGGGCCATCTTCAAGTCCCCCGTTATGGTGGCGAGAACAATGTCATTGTGATGGGAGAGACCTTGACCTACCTGGCTGAGATGGAGACCCCGGTCAGACACAGCAGCCACAACTACAGAGTCCGGAACACCGGAACCCTCCAATCAGACCGCTATCTGGGTGGTGCTCTTTGAGTGCTACCCTAATCCTCTGGACTAAGGCCACACTTCCACTCTGCACACCCATGCCCACCAATCTCTGCCCATGCACTACCACTGCTTTTATAACCAGAACTTCCAGTTCCAGGACTGCGCCTCCTAGCAGCACCTGCACAGTGAGATCTACTCCATGTGCTTCGGGGTGGCATGCCTGCCTGCCCTCAGAGCCTGCCTAAGAACTCAGATGTGGACTGGCAGCGTGCCAGGACAATTTGCCCAGGAAAGGTGACCCGTCCTGCCCCATAGAAGAAGAGGCTGTCGCTGGCCAGAGGCCCTGAGAGGCTGATGGTTTTTTTAGATGCTGACATTAACAAAAGAGACATGTGCTGTGACTCCAACGCCAGCCATTAAATTAATTAGAAAAAACCTGCTCACCTTCTCTTCCGTTATTATTACCATTATTTGCAATCAAGGTCCAATTTTTCAGCTGTGGTTCTATAAATTAGCACTTGGTGGAAATAAGTATCAACAGGCTTCTAAACTGTGTTGATTAACAATTGCCAATTCCAATTTTAGGAGGCATAAAAAGAACA